TATTTGACCAACTCTGTTAGAAACATCAACACATTTCGCGTTTCTAGAAGTAAATTGACAGAATTAAACGATATGAAACCCTATGTCTTTTTCTAAGCCCCTGACAATATGTGGAAAATTTCAGTATGAAATTTAAGGTGAGGTGGAAAACTGTAGCAAACTAACAAACTCAGCTACGTAAAGCTATTATTGTGTATTACCTAAAATTAATAGATGGAATGGTAACGCAATTACAGAGATATCTGCAGTTTTCTTAATAGAGAGATTACATTAATGATTTACGCCAGATGTTTGTCTATTGAGGTCACAAAAACCACCTAGACAAAGCATATGTTTTGCACCATATTACTCACATATTTTTGTGATGGGATTGGTTTTAGTAATTACATATTTTATGAAGGAACTTTGGTCTTAAAAAGGAGGACAAATCGTTCCACGTTCTTAGAAACAGAGTGCATTTAACACACATTCCATGGATAACAGACGGCGTAAAAATGTAGTACTATTAACGTAGGTTTGTTTTTATCGTTTAGTTCTGGTCCCGGTATGGTGAGTCACAACAAAGCATGATGTCATTTGTAGGTATTTATAATATCCACAATAGAAATGGAATACTTATTATCTAAACTAATATAGACATGCGAAATAATTGTTTGGTCTCTCTATTACTACCCCAAACCGTTGGCGATAAATCAAGAGACAATTAGTAACTGCAGAATAAGCATCTTGTCGATATTAATATCTTAAAAATAATTTCAATGTGTTGATGTGAAATAAACTAGCAGGGCCCTCAGATGCAACAAAACCTCTGGTTAAAAGTTTATTAAGTAACTGAAGAAACTCAAACGTTACTCAAGTGTAATTGATAGTACTTAACGGCATTTTACATTTGAGTATTTAATTATTTTTCTAAATCTTATTTTCTAGTACTGGGTATTAATATACTTGTGGAAGTAATGATTGTATACCATTAACACAAGAGTGTAAGTTGTCTAAACTGGGATAGTTATGATTGCCTTACCGTTATCCACTTAGCCATAAGCCTTAAACAGCAAACTTCTAATTACAATAATTCAGATAATTTCTCACGCCATATAAGGAAAGCTTTTATAAAACTAGTTTGAAAAACTAGATTATTGGATATTATTTTTATAACAGTCGCCGAAATCAATAACTACGATTTTATGTTTAATGGTTTGTAACATAACTAACACTTTTCCAATGTGATTGAAACGTTCGGCCACTTCTTACTGTGTAATACAGTTAATAATAATTTTACAATTAAAAAAAATACTGACCTAAGAATTCAGTTAGTTTATGCTAAAGAAGAAATTTTGTTACTCTAAACTGAGTTCCCAGTTCCAAAATTTTTGAACTGGGTATTTAGTTCACAGTCTCAAGACCTAGGTAGGCTGCGTTTTTACACGGTTGTCGAATCTATCCGTCATTGAAATCCTATTTTAATACAGGCATCCGAGGTGCCTTGTACGGGCATCATTCATTTTGGGACATATCTTCGCCAGACCACATTCCGAATGTGACCTGCCAATTACGTGGGAAATGCTGAAAGACTTTTTTATTACTTACCTGACCGTTATTCGATGACTTCGGCAATCGTTAAGAACCAGTACCTTTGCCCATATTCGATGGATCATGTTCCGATTTTCTAGCCTCATCGTTTTACAACTTTTTCCTTACACATACTTTACAGTCGTATGACATATTGGTGTCAATGCAACAATAAAACTGAAATGCATTTATTCATAAGGTTTGCCACATTGGCACGTTTTCGCATTTGTTTTCGACTTATTGAGAGGTGGTTCTGAAAAATTTGCTTTATTGACGGTTCTTTGTGTGACAACGATGACAAACACGAAGAAATGTCCTTTGTATTTCTGATACGTGTGTTTGCTTCACGGTTTGCCTTCTGTAAACGACTGTATAGAGATATTTTTAGCATTTATAACTGAGATTTTTTGAGATTTGGATTGCTGAGATCGGGCACTGGTGATTACATGAATGCTCAGTTGTTAATCTTCAGATCTCAGAGTTGAAGGACAGGCCGAGCCAGTGTAACTAAGAGTTACTTGTGTAAGTGATTTTGAAGTAACTCAGAATAAAGAATTAGCTTAGGCTAACAAAAACGTCACGGTTAGCCGTGACGTTTTTGTTTTTAATTTTTTTAATGTTAGAGGGGGCAGACGAGCAGACGGGTCACCTGGAAAGTTGAATGGAAATGGAAAGTGACCATCGCCGCCCATGAACGTCTGCAACTCCGGAGTCACAAGTCGGAGGCCTTTAAGGAAAGAAAGTTTAGGGTAAAAAGGTTACAAACCATAAAATACCGTAAGGAAATATCCCTAACGTATAACCAACTAACCGGGGTTTGTTATAAGAATTTACAGGTAAATTCTGCCCCAAATTCAATTCGATGACATTGTAATAAATATCGGTAAATAACCGAATAACCTAAGCGTAACTTGTAATACAAGTAGATCGATGTTATATGAAAGTCTCGATGTTACTTCGAAAGCAACAACTACCTACAATCCGAGAAAAGGCTAAAGCTTAAAACTGCATTTATTTAAATCTAGAACACAGCACCTAATAAATGCTAGTTGGCAAAACAAAATCGAAGCCAAGGCTGTTCACGGATTAACTTTATCCTAATTCGAGGTATGAAAAGTGAAACTAAATCTTTAGTTGATTAGTTGTATCGTCAAACACGAATAGGTCACCAAGACCGGTCTGCTCGGATTTCTCGCTTCACTTTTTGGCGACATGACATGAATTATTAAACATTATTTAGCCGTGCACATTGTTAAACACTCGTTGGCCTAATGACACGGATATATATCGTTCTCGGTATCCTCCAAGTATTGTTACACCTTCTTTATTCAGACAATATTGATAAAAGAAGAAATGATCGTCTTAAAAGATCCATCTCGTTCAATAATTACAAATCAACTTCCAAGGTTAAGAAAACTAATGATTCCCAAATAATACACGAACGTGCAAGAGAACTAATAATAAACACGTAACAATCATTTGCTCAGTATTGATGTGAGGAAATACGTCAGACTGCGGTCAGTAATCGTAAAATAAATTTTGTGTTAGTACCAGTTGTCGTTCTAGTAATACAAAAATCTGTAATAAAAGGACTGCTTTCAATTTATCCGGTAACAAAACTGATATCCTTTATTTATGTACAGAATACTTATGTATGTTTAAATATTCGACATACATAGTACGTATACACAGTAAATCTGCTATGTCTAACTTAATTTGTGTGTGCATATGCCCATATATAATGCTGCAAAGCTTTTTAGTCTAAAAAATTAATCGAGTTACTGATTTAATAAGAACTAATTCATCTAAGTTACACAAAATTAATGCAACTTTTGAAATACTACATAGCACTACTACACATCTCATAATACATACAACTAACGAATCTATCGAATCACGTCCGATTTCGTCAGATTAATGTTTATTAAAATCCGAAAAAATGTGAATTAGTTATCGTCAACGAAAATAGCCAACTCTTGTGCTGGCGCCTGCTAAACATAGCAATGGGCTGCAACCGAAGATGTGCTACCATTTTCAAAATACAACTTCACGTAAAAGTAGATCAAACCTTGGCGTCCGTGTCCTGGCAAAAAGCCAACTGAGCAATTGAATGAGTGACGATTAGCAAACAAAAAATAAAAGGGGTAGACGAACAAGAATCGATCTATTTCTGGGAGGTCGAATCTTCTGAAGTACCTGAGTCAGAAGCAATTCTGGCACTTGAGGTTCGCACTCATTGAACTAGAGGAAATGGGTGTCTGTGTTCACGATAGTAGCACTGGGTACTCGGCCGAAATATTTTAGATTAGTGTAGCCACATTTGTATGGTGCAATGACGGACTGTTAGGAGTGAAAGAGGTCCTTTGAGTGTGTCAGACGTGACTGGGTTCGCAAAGGTCCGTTGTATCGACACGTATGCGGCGCGCAGTCTGCCTGCACACTGTAGCGTCACACGAGTTATTGATTGATCAACCAAATATTCAGTACAGGTCAAGTATTGCATTCATAACTTAGCACTTGGACTAATGAAAGTGTAACGGATAATTTGTTAAATTAACCAAGATAAGATAACCATTAATTTAAATTAATATATAAGTAAATAAATACACGAAGGAAGACTTATTTTAAAAATACTGTAAAATAGTGACAGTGAAGTACATTTGCATACAAGTGTCAAAACTAATGCAACGATTGCAATTTTCTGGTATGAATTCAGTGGAAAGTTTCAGCCTTCCTATAGAGTTGTTTCAGAATATACCTGACTATAAAAATATAATTTGCTGCCATCGGTTCATATCAACTCAAACGAGCGAATAGATAAAACCTTACTAGATATTGATGTCCTTGACAAAGAAATGATAACAAGAAACGATAATGTAACTTGACAGATTAAAGAACATTTATTTGAGTTTTTTTTCTTTAAAACTATATTTTTCAGAAATCAATCATTTCCACGTTATAAATTGTTAATTAATTTATGATTAAAATAGTTTGCATTGTTTCTCAAAGAAGTTATAAAAGTGTCTTCTTAATATTGTCAGCTGTTATTTAATTTATCAATTAAAACCACCATTGAAGGAGAGAATTAGTCACAAACAAAACAATTGCCTGTCGGAACACATCTGGTAGTTAATTTTACAGACTAAATTACAGCAATAGTTCACAAATGGTATTTGACTTCATATTGATATATTTATCCATTTACCAATACTATTTCGTACGTAGTAATTTAGTAGGTTTAGTAACTCGTTATAGAAAAGGCATGATCATATATTATGAATTTTAAGTCGAAAATTTCGATAAAAGTATATTATTCACGCAGTACGTTTCTGATAAGGCAACATTGGCGCCGATAACGCTAATGATGTTTTTGTATTTCAAGTAATACCTATATTTTAAAAATTTAGGTCTCCCCTACCTTAGCACCGGAGATGCTGGCGTTCATCCAACTTTCGGTACTGACGCCTTGGCTGTCGCCGAAATTCGTATTTGTAACACTTCAAAACATGCAGCGAGTTTTACAAACTCAAAGAAACGTCGATAACACAACGCACAGTACAGAACTTGGCACTAACGAAGCACGTCTCAACGAACACAATTCTGGGAGTTGAAGTTAAGAAACACCAACAAATCGAACCAAAAGTGGTCTTTCACATCACGTCAAATATTTGCGTGGTCACAGGTGTAAAATGTGTAAATAAAGCAGCGCTGTATATTGGCAGCACGTGCGCATTCGACGGCGAACCGCGTATAACAAGAAAACGCGAGCGGCGTGAGGACGCCTCCCTACCACGACCGCTGCACGCACAGGGCACAGCGAGACTGACGCAAGCGGAGAGTTCTCAACCGCCGTCGCATCCCAACCCCTCAGAGTGACCAGCAAGAGCTTTACACCCCGCATGTCTAGTTTTTTTTTTTTGCTTCAACATAACACACACAGCGAGTTGCTCATCAGAAAAGTGCGACTAAGGCTATGGAGTCTTGACTGCTTTTTCTTTAAGTTATTGCAATTTTTCAAGCCTTTTACGGCATTCTGAACTAACGTTAATTATTAGGTGTTCTCACGAGAGCATTGGACAGATTATTTCAAAAATAAAAAAAGAGTTCTTGATGATCCCCTCTAGCCATGAATCCTCTAACTTCACCAGCTTTCTCGGGTCAATTCAACACAATAAACATCGAAAATATAATTGTATACTGTAACGCGAAAGTGTGCCACATCCTGAAGTCGAGTTAATGTGCAGATAATGACGGGCAGCGATGTGCCGCTAGGTGCAATGCTAGGATCACGTAGAGCCAACGGTACCATGTCTTTGTGACTCCATGCACTTGGGCTTATTTAAATAATCGTCGCGTTGACGACTCCGTGATCTGGGGATGATTTGCGGAGAGATAACAACCTTCGAGCACTCATTATATGTCTTTGTGGTACTTTGAAAATAGTAGGTCTTACGAGTAATGTTTGCTGACACAAATATTGTAATTACAATTAGATTTTCAGAACCAGGGCAAACAGTTTACTGTAGAAACACATTTACACTCAAAATATAACGTGGAACTATTGATATTGTTTCCTTCTTTACACTTATGATTATAATTAATATCAGAATCGAAGACGATCAAACGCTTTTATCTTAGAGAAGCGTTCGATCATCTGGAAATGATTGAATTTAGTGATAGCAATCGGTACAGATGGAAGAAAGCTGATACAGTTATAAAGGAATCTAGAAGACCCGGTCATTAAATTGTCGTTATTAATCAAGTGTAACACTATAAAATAATGATGGTGTACTCTTAATTGATGTGTTGCTAGTTAGGGGGAGCTTACTTCATTATGGCCGGTTGTCACGACATGACCAGTCGAGGGAATCCAACCGCCGGAAAACATCCGAACGCACTACAGTTTCTGACTTTCTGTGTGAACTTGTAAATCAACCGCCCTACGTTTGATACAAATTATCTACGCATAAGGGTTGACAGTAAGGATGTTTGTAATACCTACAAGTTTCTAGAATGTACGAGTTATGCCGTTGTAAAAATTTCTTTTCGCCTCGAAAGGAAAGAGAGTGTGAACGCTTTTATTGGAATCCATTTTAAGTGTGGTCTGCTAGGCTATTACGAATAGTTTATACTTTTTTCCCTTTATTGCAAAATAGTTTGAGTCCCTTTAAATAAATTAAAAAATGTAACATTTTCATTTAAGAAAACAATACAAGTATTGGTAATGAGGGGGCAGTAAAGCCGCAAGTTTAAGCGATTTTTTTCGTAAAACCCTTGAGATCTCGCTTTAAGACTTCCCCGGAAAATTTTTCCTTTCCCCCTTGTAGATCGAAGGGTCTTTCGCATTTTTGCCGGGGCATCGCCGACAATACACGACACGGGAAAACGAACCCGTTAACAAAGGGACAAACCCGTTACTCCTGAGGGCGTTTCTAATTTAAGCGTATTTAGTTTATAAAAATGGGTTTTTCGAAAGGGGCAGTAAAATGAGGTGGCCGTAGTTTTGGGGGACACAGTCTTTGCTTAAGACAGAATTGTAATTTTTTGGTATTTCCCTGGCAATATTTATTTAATACAATTTCTACTTAAAAAACCGACCCCCGTGTTTACCGCGTTTTTGTAGCGTTTTCTGATAAAACCTGTAAAATGATTTTCTGGTTTCAAACTAAACAAATAATAAGTATGGTAAGATAAAACTCATAAAAAAAATAAAAAAAATAAAGTTGAAATAAGGGGACCAAAAAAAGGGGGGAAAAAAAAAAATTTTTGGGTTTATTTCTTTTTTTAATTCACATGAAATACCAAACCTAAAATAAAAATTTCAAAAAATTTGGGATTTTTAAAGTTTTCTATAAAAATTGTTCAAATTTTGCCTGTTTCCCGCCCGTTTGTGTAAAAAAAAATAAAATACTGTTGTCCTTATATTTAATTTAAAAAAATTGAAAATGTATTTTAAGAAATCGCCCTTTTTTTAAATTTTAAATTGTAAAGGGTAGGGTTGTACATAAAAAGGTTTCATTAGACTAGTACTAAAATATATGGTTTAAACTGAGGTGCGGCCATGTGTGCGGTGTTCCACAGGAGTTGTTTTTGGACCCCCTCCTGTGGAAAAATGGGGAGATTGGGGGCCCTTTGGGTGGGGTTTTAATTTGATACGCCGATGATACATTGGCACAGGGGGGAGCGAAAATTTTTTTTGGGCGGCCGGCCCAGCCCGCAGGGGGCTTCTAGTGATGGGCGCAGGCTTTCGGGGGGCCTTTGGGTAAGACGGGGGCCCTCTTATTTCTAGGACCCGTCTGGTTTCCCCGGAAGTGGGGGGCGGAGAAAAAAAATAAAAATTTTTTTAATACCCTGGAAAAAAAAAAAACCCTTTTAAAAGGAAAAAAGTGAAAAAAAAAAAAAAAAAACCAAAGGGGAAAACCAAAAAAAAAAAAAAAAAAAAACTTTTTTTTTTAAAACCAGAAAAGAAAACGGCGCCCCAAACCGAAAAAAATGGTGGGAAAAAAAAACAGGCGGCAAAAATTTTTCTCCCAATTCAATATTCCCAAATCTTATGTGGTTAAAATTTTCGGGAAGAAGTATTTGTTTTTTAAAAAAAATTCTTTTTAAATTTTTTTATGCGGTTACGTGAAATAGTCTTAAAATAAATGGTAAAGCTTGTAGGACGCCGGAAAACTTGAGCCTTTTAATTATTATTTACATAGGTATATTACGTCGGGGGTGCCAAAAAAAGCGGTTTCACACGTGACCTTATACAGAGTCGATTGGGATAACTAAACTGTGTTAGAAATTTAAGATGCAAAGGAGAATAGTTCGCTGTGGGCGTAACGCTGGATGTTTTGTTGGCACCCCAACGACATTATAGATGGGAAGTGTTAGACACAGAGAAAGTACAGTAATTCCAACGATACGATGATTACAGCCCCCAAAGGGGAGTGAAATATCATAAGGAAGGGGGGGAAAACGTTGTATTGGGAGTTTTAGGGTACTTGCCCCTTTTTAGTTAAAAATATTATTAAAGTTTGTTTTTATAGATATTAGGCGACAAAGAAGCATGCGACTTATTGGCCCATATATTAGTACACCGGCGCCTAAAAACAAAAAATTTTATTCTTTAGTTTTAGCAAATACATTGGAATAACAACCACCTGCATTAAAATTATCACTACAAGGAGAACCCTTTTCACACCTAACTTCCATCCAACAATCAACTTAAGTAAGCAAAAAGCTCAAATGAAAAAGCTCGTTCCAGATATAGGCTCTTGACCAATGCGAACCGCGTATCTAAAAAAAGGGAAATGGTTATATAGAGAAAGGAAGTTACCCCAAACCAAAGAAATTCCCAAGAGGAAATGCGTTTTTGAATATATTTAAAAAAAAAAAATAGGTAATTCCCGAGGTAGAAGTCAATTTATACATTGTGTATTACAATGTATACAAAATGTGTATTACATTTTAATTCAAAATTAGCCTTTGCTTATTTACTACAAATACATAAATAGTACAAAACAATATGAAAAAACAACACAAATTTATTTAAAAAAACTCAGATTATATATACGAAAATAGACATAATATTTGTATGCTTACACTTACGTATCTCACACCCCCAAAATTATGTGCCAAGTTAAATTTAAAAAAATACAACACTTGTCTATGTTACACATTTTTGGGGGCTTAAATACAGAGATGACTATTCTGAAAAATTGAAAACAAGCTCACCTTGATACTGTGATATTTAAAGGGTGTATTTTCCCACTTCAAACAAAAGTGCTTTAATATCAAAAAGTTAAAATCGTTTGAGCCCCACCAAGGTCTGCCACGGGTCGAGATTTAAACCCCAAAGCGAGTTATCATTTAATTGGGGCAATACGGTGCATGACCTATAAAAATTAAAATAGCTTATTTAATGGGAAATTTTTAGTTAACCCCAAACCCAATGGTAACAATGCCCCTTGCAAAAATAAAAATTAAGGCTTCTCGGTAAAAGGAGAAATCTTATTTTTCCTTTTGCGGTTTTAAAACCTGAATAAAGGACTTCTTTTTGGCAAAAATTTTGGTCCCAAAAATTTCCAAAAGTAAAAAAATTTAACATAGAAAAAAGTATGCCCCACTTTTGCTTTAAACATTGCAAAAGTATCAAAAAATAAACATAAAATGTAGTTTTGCTCTTTTAAAAATTTTTAAGTAGTAGAACAAAAAAAAACGAACTTAATAAAAGGGTTTTTTTCCCCAAATTTTTTGAATTTAAAATTTGTTTGACGCGACATGAAAAAAAAATAACGAAAAATAAAGAGGAAAGGAGGGGGGTGTTGGGAAATCCCCCGCAAAGTAAAGAAAATGGATATTTCCCCGTCGGACATAAATAAAACGTTTTCTGGAAATACCTTTTTTCCCGGCCAAACGTCTCCAAGGAGAGGAGACCAAAAGGGTTTTCCGCGTCAAAAAAAAAAATTAACACAAAGAAATGTTTTTCGTCAACTAATACAAAAAAGAAATTTTCTAATTAATTGTGATATGGATAATTTTAGAAAGATGTGTATAGTTCCCCGTTGGGGTTTTTTTAGTGGGTTGTCAAGAGAAGTAAAAGTGTGTTAATTTCCCCGTAAAACAAAAACAGAATTTTTTAAATTTTATAGTTGGTCCCCAGAAGTATTTGTCCGGCAGTAACAAAGGGAAATTTTATGTAAGATGAAGAGTATAAACATGGATAAAAAATAAAAAAAAATAGATGAGAAAACAAAACAGAAATCCCGGTAAACTTATTAAATAGATGCGGGTACGTCGTCATCCACAATTTTTACCTGTTATTTTAATTTTGACCAGAAAATGAATTCTTTTTAAGATGTAGGGCTATGGTAATATAAATACCAAAA